CCCCGGGGCCCCCGGCAGCCGGCATGGCCGAGCGTCCCCGTGCTGAGCGTCCCTGCGTGGAGCCGGTGGGCACGGCAGGCGCCTGCGGGGACTGGCTGGGCGTGGGGGTGGCGCGGGGACGCTCTGCTTCACCAGGAAGGAATTCGGTCAGGCCTGTCAGGCGGGTTGGGACGATCCAGGCCGGATGCGATGGGGGTTCGCTGCAGAGTGACACGGGCTCCCCAGGCTCCTGGCAGACCCCTGTGTTCTGGGGATCAAGGAGTCCCCAAGACAGCCTTGGAGGATCTGGGTTGACCCATCCATCTGACCCTCTCTCCTCTCCTCCAGCGGGTGCTTATTACCCGGCGCAGGGGGTGCAGCAGTTCCCGGCGGGGGTCCCTGCTGCCCAGGCCCTTGTGAGCCAACAGCCACCGATCCCCCCAAAACGAGAGCGCAAGACGGTAAGGAGCCGTCTGCCCTGGGCACGGGGTGTGTTTGCGTGTGGGAGGGGACAGTGACAGCCCCAGGAGTCCATCCTGTGTGGGATGGGATGCAGCATGCTGGGGAGGGAGGATGGCAGAGGGCTGTGTTCCTCAGGCTGGGGGGCTGAACGGGGGACTGGTGGGTGCTGGCGACCTTGGCTGTCCCGGCGGGCAGCGTTGTGCTGAGTCACAGCTCCCGGGGGGGCGGGGGTGCCACGGCTGCCAACTGCTGTCTGCTCCCGGAGATGCCGGCGCTCGGAGGCCTCGCGCGGGGCCTATTTATAGCGGGGAGCCGGGCAGCTGCCGGCACAGCCCTGCATTGAGGGGCGTGGGGTGCTGCCGGGCCTGGGAGGGGAGAGTGTTCGCATTTCATCAGCGGAGGGGCCTTGCTGCCCCTTGGGCTCTGCTTTTGCTGCCCTGGGAGCAGGTTGTTTGTGAGTGGGGAGAACAAGACCCATGGCTGCACTGTGCCCACCACCGGGGCTTCAGACCCATGTGTGTGTCCCAGCAGGGTGTCCCGTGACTCCTCCTGCACTCACAGCAGGCACAGGGCTGGTGGAGCTGTGGGTGTATGGACTATACCTGAGGTGGCACAGGGCTCACTGCGATGTTTATGTGCCAAGGCCAGTCACCTGTGCTATCCCTGAGGCAGGGGGAGGTCTTGTACCCCCTGTGCCAGTGTGGTGGTGCTGCCTTGGGGTCCCCCAGCCGCTAGGGACATGGTGCTGGCTGCAGCTGTTTGGCATGGTGGCTACCAGGTCTTGCCCTGCCCTGTGCCATCCCTTCCTGCTGTGCATGTGGATAGTCTGGTGTCTGTGGTGTGCTGTGCCCCATGGGAAGGAGAGGTGGTGCTAGTCTGTCCCCAAGCTGTGTCTGGCCAAGGCAGGCACAGTGTTGAATGAGCCTCTCGCTTCTCCCCTTGGAGAAGGCAGTGTCCTGGAGGTTTTTGGCCTAGGGAAAGGGGGTGGCTTGTGTGCTGCGTTCCCCACCCTGCTGACAGCTTCTTCCTCTCTGCCCTGACCACGGACAGATCCGGATACGAGACCCCAACCAAGGTGGCAAAGACATCACTGAAGAAATCATGTCTGGAGCAAGGACCTCATCCACCCCCACCCCTCCACAGGTATGGGGACCCCTTAGACTCCCTCAATGGGGGCAGTGGGGTGTGCACAGGGGCCTTGCTGAACTTCCTCTTTGCTCCTTCTCCACAGGCTGGAAGCGGTTTGGAGCCTCAGGCCAACGGAGAGACACCCCATGTAGCAGTTATTGTCCGACCAGGTGAGTGCTGGGGGTGGGTGTGCCAGCTGGTGCATCTGTCATTGGCACTGTGGGGTGTGAGTTGACAGCCTTGCTGTTCCTTGGTTCACCTGAAGCTTTTAGGGTCAAGTGTGCTCCATATATATACAGTGTTGGGTCCCGGAGAGTTCATGGGGGCTGTCTGCTCACCCTAGCTGACCCTTGGGCACTGGAGGACCCCTGTTGTCCCTGTGACCATTTTGTGATGTGGGTTGGCACATCTGTCCTTACCGCTTCTGCAGATGGTGGGGTCTGGAGGGGGGGAAATGCAGGGTGAGCAAGGGACTGGAGAGCCCCCATTAATGCTGCCTCTTATGCAGATGATCGCCCAAAGCCTGCGCCGGCGGCGAGCAAGCCCATCTCCCCGGAGCCCAGCAAGTCGGCCTCCCCGTCGCCTCCCCCTCCCCTCATCCCCGAGGTGGAATCCGTGGTGCTCTCGGCTGTGACGCTGGTGCCAATGGAGCCCCCTGTGGATGTGGACACTAAAGCAGAGCTGGGCGAGGCGCCGCCCGACCCCAACAAGACGTTTAGCGCCATCACTACAGTGCCAGGGGCTGTGGATGTGCCCGTTGTGCCCTCGACCAACATGAACACGGTGGTTGTGGAGGAGAAGGAGGAGGAGGTTGCCATTCCCCTCCCGGAGCCTACCCCACAGGCACCTGTGCCCCCTGAGGTGCCACCGGTGAGGGCAGAGCCCTGCCCTGAGCCCGCTGTTGAGCCCACTGCCGAGGCCAATGGGGTCTTAGAGGAGGTGCCTGAGCCGGTCCCTGAGGTGCCTGTGTGCCAGCCAGTGCTGGTGCCCACTACAGCACCTGCGACCACCCTGGTCTCCCCCATCACCCAGCCTGAAGAGCTGCCCCTGCCCAACGGGGTAGAGGGCACCAGGAAAGCAGAGCTGAGCGAGGGGCAGCCTGAGTCAGACATCAGCCCCATCTCAGAACCCGAGGAGCTGGCCCAGCCCGGCACCCCTGCCTCCCCCCCGGCGGAGGAGGAGGAGGGGGAGGAGGAGGAGGAGGAGGAGGAAGAGGAGGAGGAGGAGAGTGAAGGCCCTGGGGAGGCCAAGCCCGGCCCCTGCCCCTTCGCAGTCCTCGGAGGCGACTGCGCGAGGTTGGGGATGCTGGGCTGAGGCGCGTGGGGCCCCAGAGTGGGTGTTGGGTGATGTGGGGGGGTCACCTGGCTGCGGTGGTAGACGTGGGAAGGATATCAAAGAGGGAAATGGGGTTAGGTGACCCAGGATGTGGAGGTATGGGTTGCTGGGGGGAGGACAAGGTACCATGGGAGGGTGAAATGGGAGGAGAAATCCTGGGACTGAGTCCGTATGTAGGTGTATGGCATGGGAGTGTGTGGGGTGCCATGAGGGAAGTGTGTTTTATGTGATGCCTTGTGTGAATGTATTGGGGTTGTATCTGGGGGCTGTCCCCAGCTGTCTAGGGACATGGGGAGGTGCAGCAAGTGGAGGGGCGTGACAGGGCAGATACAGGGCTGTAGCTATGGGGAGTGCCCAGCATAGGGGCATGCAAGTACATACGGGTGCCTGGGGAAAGTGGGGTGCCCTGGGGATGTGCTGTGACAAAGGCATGTCTCTTTTTTATGTTTTTGTTTGTTGTTTGTGTTGGGTTTTTTTAAGCACCTTGCACAGGAGTGTGGGGGTTACATAGAGGTGCTGGGGGATATGGATGCACAGAACATGTTCATACAGAGCAGGGCTATAGAGGGATGACCTGGAGGCAGATGTGCTTCTGGGGAGCACCTCTGTGTGGGTGGTGTGTAGGGGTGCGAGGGAGAGGAGCGTGTAGGGGGGCAAAGGTGTGTGTAGGGATGTACTCACAAGGGTTGTCCTGCAGAGGGAGGTGGGTGTCTGCAGGGATCCCGTGAGGAGGATAGGGAGTGCTCTGCTAAGGAAGAGGTGAGGATTGGGTGCTTCAGAGAGGTACAGGGTAAATTGGGGTGCAGCGGCTGGATGGGGAGCGGTGTGGGGTACATCTGTACAGGGTGTATTCTGGGGTGCATGCTTTGGGAGCAGGGTGCCTTGCTGGGCTGTGTGTAGGGTTCGCAGGGCTACGTGTGCCCAGGTGGCATGTTTGGGGACAGGCTCTGCTGGGTTGGCAGGACCATGGCCCTATGGCTCCCCACAACCCCATCCTGAAAGTCAGCTGGTGTAACTGGGGCCTTACTGATGACCCTGGAGCTTATGTCAGGGTAGGCAGGGGACAGGGAGTGTTTCTGTCCTTCATCTCCCTGCCTCTCCTCCCAGTCGCCGTGTCGGTGCCAAAGAAGAAGCGAAGGTTGAAGGAGCTAAACAAGAAGGAGGCAGTAGGCGATTTGCTGGATGCCTTTAAAGAGGTAAGCATCCTAGATTGTCTAGGGGGTTCACCCCCTGTTCTGTCTCCTCCTGTGATGAGCTCTTTGAGCCTTTGTGTCTGGGCCACTGATGTTCTGTGATGGTAATGAGGATCTGAGGGGGTTGATGCCTGGGTGCAGGGTGGAGGGGTCATGACCAGGCTTGTAGGGTAACTTCTGTCCCCGTCCCTCCTGATGCAGTCTCAGATCAGTGACAGTGCCTCAGAGACAGAGAACAAGCCTCCCATGTCCACCCCTGCACATGAAGTGGAGGAATTGGCCCCAGCTCGCCCACAGGAAGAGTCGGAGGAGACGTGGGAAGAGAAGGAGGACAAGCTGGCCCCAGAGAAGGGCAAAGCTGCTGACCAGAAGTACCGCTACAAGGAAGGTGAGCTGTGCCTTGAGCCAGGCCTCTGCTGGGAGCCATTGCCTCTGGACCCAGCACTGGGTAGAGTGTTACTGAGTGGCATGGTCCAGCTGGCCTAAGCCTGAGGAGGAGGAGGAAGAGGAGGAGGAGGAGAGTGAAGGCCCTGGTGAGGCCACAGAGCGGAGCTCCAGCCCGGCCCCTGCCCCTTCGCAGACCTCGGAGGCGACTGCGCGAGGTTGGGGATGCTGGGCTGAGGCGCGTGGGGCCCCAGAGTGGGTGTTGGGTGATGTGGGGGGGTCACCTGGCTGCGGTGGTAGACGTGGGAAGGATATCAAAGAGGGAAATGGGGTTAGGTGACCCAGGATGTGGAGGTATGGGTTGCTGGGGGGAGGACAAGGTACCATGGGAGGGTGAAATGGGAGGAGAAATCCTGGGACTGAGTCCGTATGTAGGTGTATGGCATGGGAGTGTGTGGGGTGCCATGAGGGAAGTGTGTTTTATGTGATGCCTTGTGTGAATGTATTGGGGTTGTATCTGGGGGCTGTCCCCAGCTGTCTAGGGACATGGGGAGGTGCAGCAAGTGGAGGGGCGTGACAGGGCAGATACAGGGCTGTAGCTATGGGGAGTGCCCAGCATAGGGGCATGCAAGTACATACGGGTGCCTGGGGAAAGTGGGGTGCCCTGGGGATGTGCTGTGACAAAGGCATGTCTCTTTTTTATGTTTTTGTTTGTTGTTTGTGTTGGGTTTTTTTAAGCACCTTGCACAGGAGTGTGGGGGTTACATAGAGGTGCTGGGGGATATGGATGCACAGAACATGTTCATACAGAGCAGGGCTATAGAGGGATGACCTGGAGGCAGATGTGCTTCTGGGGAGCACCTCTGTGTGGGTGGTGTGTAGGGGTGCGAGGGAGAGGAGCGTGTAGGGGGGCAAAGGTGTGTGTAGGGATGTACTCACAAGGGTTGTCCTGCAGAGGGAGGTGGGTGTCTGCAGGGATCCCGTGAGGAGGATAGGGAGTGCTCTGCTAAGGAAGAGGTGAGGATTGGGTGCTTCAGAGAGGTACAGGGTAAATTGGGGTGCAGCGGCTGGATGGGGAGCGGTGTGGGGTACATCTGTACAGGGTGTATTCTGGGGTGCATGCTTTGGGAGCAGGGTGCCTTGCTGGGCTGTGTGTAGGGTTCGCAGGGCTACGTGTGCCCAGGTGGCATGTTTGGGGACAGGCTCTGCTGGGTTGGCAGGACCATGGCCCTATGGCTCCCCACAACCCCATCCTGAAAGTCAGCTGGTGTAACTGGGGCCTTACTGATGACCCTGGAGCTTATGTCAGGGTAGGCAGGGGACAGGGAGTGTTTCTGTCCTTCATCTCCCTGCCTCTCCTCCCAGTCGCCGTGTCGGTGCCAAAGAAGAAGCGAAGGTTGAAGGAGCTAAACAAGAAGGAGGCAGTAGGCGATTTGCTGGATGCCTTTAAAGAGGTAAGCATCCTAGATTGTCTAGGGGGTTCACCCCCTGTTCTGTCTCCTCCTGTGATGAGCTCTTTGAGCCTTTGTGTCTGGGCCACTGATGTTCTGTGATGGTAATGAGGATCTGAGGGGGTTGATGCCTGGGTGCAGGGTGGAGGGGTCATGACCAGGCTTGTAGGGTAACTTCTGTCCCCGTCCCTCCTGATGCAGTCTCAGATCAGTGACAGTGCCTCAGAGACAGAGAACAAGCCTCCCATGTCCACCCCTGCACATGAAGTGGAGGAATTGGCCCCAGCTCGCCCACAGGAAGAGTCGGAGGAGACGTGGGAAGAGAAGGAGGACAAGCTGGCCCCAGAGAAGGGCAAAGCTGCTGACCAGAAGTACCGCTACAAGGAAGGTGAGCTGTGCCTTGAGCCAGGCCTCTGCTGGGAGCCATTGCCTCTGGACCCAGCACTGGGTAGAGTGTTACTGAGTGGCATGGTCCAGCTGGCCTAAGCCTTACACTTTCCTCTCAACTTGTATCAAAGTCTGGCATGGGGTGGGGGACAGAGACCCCAGGGTCCTGGCAGAAGGCAGGGAGCTGGTGGCATCAGGCTTTCTTATCTAAGCAAGGATTTTCATGCTCATGGCATATCAGGCTGGGCAGCTTTGTGGTTGTCTACATCCCACTTTGCTGGTCACTGGGTGGGCCTGGACCTGCTACAGCTCAGGATGGAGCATATAGGACAGCCCACATCAGGGTCTCCCTCTTTGCTGCTGCTGCAGAGCAATGGAAGCCACTGAACCCTGAGGAGAAGAAGCGATATGACCGTGAGTTCCTGCTGGGCTTCCAGTTCATCTTTGCCAGCATGCAGAAACCTGAGGGGCTGCCCCAGATCACGGATGTGGTGCTGGACAAGGTCGGTGCGGCCCTGGAAAGTGGGGGGAGGCATGGGTGGTCGGGGGACTGGCTCCTATTTGTGCCTTGTCAAGGCAGGACAGGGACTTATTTGCTGTGCTCGGGGTCCTGTTGCACCAGCTGCAACAAGCCTTGAGCCTGGGAGGGGTGTGTGGGGGCACTTCTGGGGCCTTCTTTCCAGTTCCTTGTCCCAGCGCTGAGGCTGGGGGATGGATCCATCCCGCTCCTCTGCCCCTGGGCATCCTCAGCCCTGTGTACCTTTGCAGGCCAACAAGACCCCACTGCGGGCGCTTGACCCCATCCGCCTCAGTGGCATGAACTGCAGCCCTGACTTCACCCCCTCCTTTGCCAACCTCGGCCGGCCTGTCATGGGCAACCGGGGCCTGGTGAGTATCTCCTTACTTCACCCATGCTGTCCCCCTCCACTTCTCCATGATGATCAAGCTTTCGAGCCACTGTGTCTGGGCCACTGATGTCCATGATGGAGTTGAGGATCTGAGCAGATGGATGGGGACACCCTGGGAGCCAGCCCTGCTGGTCCCAGAGCAAAGAGCTGAGTTTTGTCTCCCTGTGTCAGCCCTCAGGGTTGGGTCCTCGTCGCTCTCAGCAGAGCCAGAGGAAGGAACCTCGCAAAATCATTGCCACTGTGTCCCTCAATGAGGATGTCAAGCTGAACAAGGCTGAGAAGGCCTGGAAACCCAGCAGCAAGCGTGCCTCTGAGGAGGAGGATCCTGAGAACATCAAGACACAGGTGGGATCTGGGGCAGGCGGGCGGTAGGAGGGTAGGGGGGATGTGCTGTGCTCTGGCTGACTTTGCTGTCCTCACAGGAGCTGCTCCGCCGCGTCCGCAGCATCCTCAACAAGCTGACGCCCCAGATGTTCCAGCAGCTGATGAAGCAGGTGATGGAGTTGTCCATCGACACGGAGGAGCGGCTCAAGGGTGTCATCGACCTCGTCTTTGAGAAGGCCATCTCGGAGCCAAACTTCTCTGTTGCCTATGCTAACATGTGCCGTTGCCTTATGGGGGTGAGCAGGAGCTAAGTGGGGCTTCAGCTGGGCTGGCAGGGGGTTTAACTAGGGGCCTTGGTTGAGCTCAGCAGGGTGCTGGTCTCTCCGTGTGGTGTCAGGAAACTGGGACCTGTGGCTGGAAGGCCAAGTCCAGAGTCTTAGCAGGTCATCATGAGGGTGTAGGGTGGCTATTCCTTGGGTTGAGCAGCACCTGGGCCTTAGCTGGCCAGCTTTTGGGGATATGTGCCTCACACTCCTTGCCCGGGGTTGTATCTATCTCTGCAGCTCAAAGTGCCCACCACAGACAAGCCCACGGTGACTGTGAACTTCCGCAAGCTGCTGCTCAACCGCTGCCAGAAGGAGTTTGAGAAGGACAAGGATGATGATGAGATCTTTGAGAAGCGACAGAAGGAGATGGATGATGCCAGTGCTGTGAGTTGGGTTGGAGGCTGCAGCTGAGGGCTGGTGTTGGGTGTCCTTGGAGTGGCCCTGGGATCTGAGCTGCCCTGCTGTGCTGTCCCTGCAGCCTGAGGAGAAGGCGCGCATGAAGGACGAGCTGGAGGAGGCCCGGGACAAGGCCCGACGGCGATCACTGGGCAACATCAAGTTCATTGGAGAGCTCTTCAAACTGAAGATGTTGACAGAGGCCATCATGCATGACTGTGTGGTGAAACTGCTCAAAAATCATGATGAGGAGTCTCTTGAGTGCCTTTGTCGCCTGCTTACCACCATTGGCAAGGACTTGGACTTTGAGAAGGCCAAGGTACCGCTTGCCCTGCCTTGCTTTGCTCTACCCTTGCCTTTAGGAGGGATGTGACCTTGACTCTCTTCCTCTGCAGCCCAGGATGGACCAGTACTTCAATCAGATGGAGAAGATCATCAAAGAGAAGAAGACATCGTCCAGAATCCGTTTCATGCTACAGGATGTGATTGACCTCAGACGGGTAAGGCACATGGCCTGCTATTCCCTGGGGTCTGTCTTCTCTCCCCTGCTTGACCCCATGGAGCTGATGGACTGTGTCGTCAGAGTGCCAGCAGTCCACCTGTCCCCAGGAGGGGAGAGGTGGGTATGTAGGCTGTGGCCAGCCCCAGAGACACCATGCTAGCCCCAGCCCTTGGTTAGCATGGCAGTGATAGTGGGCACACAGTAACTGGCGGCTGTTTAATGCAGGGGGGCTCTGGAAATTGAGCCCTTTTGTGCCAAAAGCTGCCACAGTACGTGGGGAGCTGTTATGGCTGAGGCAGGAGACCAGTCTGAGCCTTGAGAGTGGGGCAGCTGGGAAGGGGGAATGTCTCTGCCTCCATCCTTCAACCAACTCAGTGCCTCTTCCCTCCCTTCCTGCCCTCTGCAGAATAGCTGGGTGCCACGGCGAGGAGACCAGGGCCCCAAAACAATCGACCAGATCCACAAGGAAGCAGAGATGGAGGAGCATCGGGAACACATCAAAGTGCAGCAGCTCATGTCAAAGGACAAGAGGAGAGGGCCTCCTGGGCCATCCTCCAGTGGTGAGTGCCTGGCCTTGGGGTCACCCAAGGTTGCCAGAGCTGGCTTGCTCCTGTTGGGTGCTGCTGGAGGCCAGGCTGTGCTTCATGCTTGTCCCCTTGTGCTCAGGACGTGGGAGCTTGGTTGCAGACGATGGCTGGAACACAGTGCCCATCAGCAAGGGCAACCGGCCTATTGACACCAGCCGGCTAACGAAGATCACCAAGGTGAGGCTGGGGGTGGACTGTGGGCAGCTGAGCTGGCTGCCCAGCCCAAACTGTTCCCTGGTGTGAGGTTCTGAGCTGACTCTCTCTACCTGCAGCCTGGATCCATTGACACCAACAACCAGCTCTTTGCGCCGGGCGGGCGGCTGAGCTGGGGCAAGGGCAGCAGTGGAGGGTCTGGTGCAAAGCCTGCAGATTCAGGTGGGCACTGTGGGTGCTGTTGGGCAGGGTAGGAGGGGGTTCCTTCCCGTGGTGGTTCCTCTATCGGGGAGGTGCTGGACTCTGAGATTCCCCTCTTTTCACGCCCAGCATCTGATTCAGGGCGACCAGCCACGAGCACCTTGAACCGCTTCTCAGCGCTCCAGCAGTCGAGCCCTGCCGAGAACCTGGAGACCCGCCGTGTGGTGCAGAGGTGAGGGGCAGCCCTGCCCTGGGAGGAGACCCCTGAATCAGGCAGCAGTTAGTTAATGCAGAGGCAAGCATACAGCCTCTGTGCTGGAATAATACCCAGTGGCAGGATGGGGCCTTTTTGGGGGGCTCAGAGTTGGTGAGTCCTTGTGACAAAGTAGGCTGACCCCACCCTGGGCACTTGGGGAGGACCACACCTGGGTGCTGGGCCTGGTTTGGGAGTCTTAGGACCAGACAGACATTGATGGGCTGAAGGGAGTTCTATTGAGGCTGGAGCCTCAGGGGGGAAAGGGAGAAGTGTTTTCCCCTGAGGGAGATCAAGTGCTAGAAGAGGCCCTAGAAAGGGCTGGGGTTGGAGTGGGACAGCCTTGCCTTGCAGAGCTCTGCAGTCTGGGGTCAGGGAGGGTGGCAATAGGCTCTTCACTCTGTGTCCATCCTCCTCCCATGCAGGAGCAGCTCCAGCCGCGACAGGTCAGAGAAGGCTGGGGACAGAGGGGAACGGGAGTCACGTTCGGAGAAGGGCAGCGACCGCCTGGAGCGTCCCGACCGGGGGGAGCGGGCAGACAGGAACAGGTCTGCCCTCACCAAGAGGAGCTTCAGCAAAGAGACAGAGGACAGAAGCCGAGAACGGGAGAAGCAGGGCGGCCCTGAGGCCTTGCGCAAGGCTGCCAGCATGACGGAGGAACGGGACCGGAGCCGAGAGCCCAGTGAGCTGGGGAGGAGCTGTGTGCTGGGGGTCTGGCTGCAGGCTGGGGCTCTGCCTGTTCCAGGGGGTGCCTGATCCTTGCTCTCTCCTCGCAGTTAAGCAAGAGTCAGTACCTCCTGCAGCATCTACCAAGCCTGTGCTGTCAGAAGAGGAGCTGGAGAAGAAATCTAAGGCGATCATAGAAGAGTACCTGCACATCAATGACATGAAGGTGAGAGGAGGGGTTGGCCAGGCACAGTGCTGTATGCCCCGCCATAACATGCCCTCTACTTTCCAGGGCAGCAACACTCTTGGTCTGGGTGCCAGTCTTCCTAGATGAGGAAGGGGAGCTGGGGCTGGCTGTGGGGCAGTGCTGACCTCTGCCTTTTCCCTGCAGGAGGCCCTGCAGTGTGTTCAGGAGCTGGGCAGCCCCTCCTCGCTCTACATATTCGTGCAGAATGGCATTGAGTCCACGCTGGAGAGGAGCACTATCTCCCGTGAACACATGGGGGTCTTGCTGTGCCAGCTGGTGAAGGCAGGCACGCTCTCCAAGGAGCAGTACTACAAAGGGTGAGGGACTAGGGCAGCCTGGCCCCATGCTGGTTATTTTGTCCAGCATTGAATTCAGCCCTGCCTTGTGCAGGGCTCATCACAAAGATCTCCTGAGGTCCTTCCCAGCCAGGGGCATGGGGACTGCTGGATCCCAATGGCCCCCGTCTGCCCTGCAGGCTGCGGGAGATCCTGGAGATCGCAGAAGACATGGAGATCGACATCCCACACATCTGGCAGTACCTGGCTGAGCTCATCACCCCTATCCTGCAAGAGGAAGGCATCCCCATGGAGGAGCTGTTCAGGTGAGGGTCATGCCCCTCTGCGGGGCTGCCACGGGGTCCTAGGGGAGGACTTCTGGGGGCAGGTAACTCAACGAGGTCTCTTGTGCCATGCAGGGAGATAACAAAACCCCTGGTGCCCATTGGGAAGGCCCCCACGCTGCTGGTGGAGGTGCTGGGCTTGTTGTGCAAGGGAATGGTAAGTGCATGGGGCTCACATAGCTCCTGGCTGCTGCCTTGGGGACTGGCAGCTTGGGGTAGCATGAACAGCTCTGCCACCAAAAGGGGTGTCAGGGGTATCCCTTGCCCTGTTTGGGTCACGGAGGTGGTGTGGCCAAGCTGTGGTGTTCCCTCCCTGGGGATGGAGGGCTTTGGGTACTGATGCTGACTTGCTTGCAGGGCCAGAAGACTGTAGGCAAGCTGTGGCGGGACGGGGGCCTGAGCTGGAAGGAATTCCTGCCTGAGGATCAGGATGTCAACAAATTTGTCACAGAGCAGGTGAGAGCTCAGTGGTAGAGATGGGCTGTGGGAGGACCCCGGGTATCCTGCTGCTGGGAGTGTGGTGTTCCCCCGTGCTGCCTTTAACAGCTCATCTCTGCCTGCTCCCCAGAAATTGGAGTACACGGTGGGGGACAGCTCGGACACGCCGAGCCACAAGGAGCTGACCTCGGAGGAGCTGTGCAAGCAAATGGACAAACTGCTGAAGGAGAACCCGAACAACCAAAGAATACACGACTGGATCGAGGTAAGGGTGTGGACACAACATGCACAGATCTGGGGGTTTCATCCCTACTCCCTCTCCACCTCACAACCCTTCTGCCCTCCCTCCTCCAGGCCAACCTGAGTGAGCAGCAGGTCTCATCCAACACGTTTATCAGGGCCCTAATGACGTCCGTGTGCCACTCGGCCATTGTCTGTGAGTACCAGGGTGAGGCAGGGAGGGGATCCCCCTGCCCACACTGCCCCCCCCTCATGCCCCATTTCCTGCAGTCGAGAATCCCTACCGTTTGGATTCCCTGGTCATCCACAACCAAGCCAAGCTGCTGCAAAAATACCTGCGAGATGAGCAGAAGGAGCTCCAGGCTCTCTACGCCCTGCAAGCCTTGGTGGTGAAGTTAGACCAGCCTCCCAGTGAGTGTGGTGGGGTGGGTGGGCTGAGAAGGGTGGTGACAGGCATGTCCCCACCCCAGCAGGGTCCCTGGTGGCTGGGAAATGTCAAGAGTTCCCCTTTGTACCCCCCCAGACCTGCTGCGGATGTTCTTTGATGTCCTCTATGATGAGGATGTTATCAAGGAGGAGGCTTTCTACAAGTGGGAGTCCAGTAAAGACCCAGCTGAGCAGCAGGGAAAAGGGGTGGCTCTCAAATCGGTGACAGCCTTTTTCACCTGGCTCCGGGAAGCTGAGGATGAGTCGGACAACAACTGAGCAACTGTGAGGAAGAGGAGGAGGAAGGGAGGAGAGAGAGCGGGGCACCCTGGGGAGCAGCTCCATCCCCTCCCACCCCCAGGCCTCCCTGGACTTGCTGATGCTGGGGCCAAGGGACCCACTCTGCCCCCAGAGCCCCCCTCTCTCTTTACAGTTCTCCTCCTCTCCCTCCTCCTCCTGTCCTGGTTCTGTTCGTGAGGCCTGTACTAGTTTGTCACGATGATAATAAACGGATGCTGATGGAGGCAGCTCTCACAGTGGGTCCCCTCGGGGCCCCTCCTCTCCCCCCTCCCAGTGCAGGCACCCTAGTTCTCTGGGAGTGGGGCAGAGCACCCCTGGACTCAAGTAATGGAGAGGGGGGACAGGATGGGGAAAGAAATCTCTCCCCTCCTTTCCCCCCTCTTCTTCCTCCTCCCCACTTCTTGCTGAAATATAGAGAGATTATATATATATAAACTTATTAAATTTGGTTTGGGGACAGGAGCGTGATTTCTCCCCCTCCCCTGTCCTCTCTCTACTCCTCCATCACTGCCTGGCGTCCCCCACACCCCGCCCCAGTTTTTTTATTTTAAATATAAATCATTCCCCCCCAGATCCT